CCTCCTTGACCTCGAGAGCACGCCTAAACAACTCTTCCGCCTCCCCCGGCCGCCCCGCCTCCCTCACACACTGACCCATCTCGTGCAGCGTCACGGCCACATTGGATCGTCGGCCCCCAACTTGGCCTCCTTGATCTTAAGAGCACGCCTAAACAACTCTTCCGCCTCCCCCGGCCGCCCCGCCTCCCGCACACACAGACCCAACGAGTGAAGCGTCACCGCCACCAGCGGATCGTCGGCCCCCAACTTGGCCTCCTTGATCTCAAGAGCACGCCTAAACAACTCTTCCGCCTCCCCCCGCCGCCCCGCCTCCCGCACACACTGACCCAACGAGTAAAGCGCCACGGCCACCTGCGGATCGTCGGCCCCCAACTTGGCCTCCTTGATCTTAAGAGCACGCCTAAACAACTCTTCCGCCTCCCCCGGCCGCCCCGCCTCCCGCACACACTGACCCATCTCGTGCAGCGTCACGGCCACCTGCGGATCGTCGGCCCCCAACTTGGCCTCCTTGATCTTGAGAGCACGCCTAAACAACTCTTCCGCCTCCCCCGGCCGCCCCGCCCCCCGCACACACAGATCCATCTCGTGCAGCGTCACCGCCACCTGCGGATCGTCGGCCCCCAACTTGGCCTCCTTGATCTTGAGAGCACGCCTAAACAACTCTTCCGCCTCCCCCGGCCGCCCCGCCTCCCGCACACACTGACCCATCTCGTGCAGCGTCACGGCCACCTGCGGATCGTCGGCCCCCAACTTGGCCTCCTTGATCTCAAGAGCACGCCTAAACAACTCTTCCGCCTCCCCCGGCCGCCCCGCCTCCCGCACACACTGACCCATCTCGTGCAGCGTCACGGCCACCTGCGGATCGTCGGCCCCCAACTTTTCCTCCTCGATCTTGAGAGCACGCCTAAACAACTCTTCCGCCTCCTCCGGCCGCCCCGCCTCCCGCACACACTGACCCAACGAGTAAAGCGCCACGGCCACCTGCGGATCGTGGGTCCCCAACTTGGCCTCCTTGATCTCAAGAGCACGCCTAAACAACTCTTCCGCCTCCCCCGGCCGCCCCGCCTCCCTCACACACTGACCCATCTCGTGCAGCGTCACGGCCACCTGCGGATCGTCGGCCCCCAACTTGGCCTCCTTGATCTCCACAGCACGCCTAAACAACTCTTCCGCCTCCCCCGGCCGCCCCGCCTCCCTCACACACTGACCCATCTCGTGCAGCGTCACGGCCACCTGCGGATCGTCGGCCCCCAACTTGGCCTCCTTGATCTTGAGAGCACGCCTAAACAACTCTTCCGCCTCCCCCGGCCGCCCCGCCTCCCGCACACACTGACCCAACGAGTGAAGCGTCACGGCCACCTGCGGATCGTCGGCCCCCAACTTGGCCCTCCTTGATCTCAAGAGCACGCCTAAACAACTCTTCCGCCTCCCCCGGCCGCCCCGCCTCCCGCACACACTGACCCAACGCGTGCAGCGTCACGGCCACCTGCGGATCGTCGGCCCCCAACTTGGCCTCCTCGATCTTAAGAGCACGCCTAAACAACTCTTCCGCCTCCCCCGGCCGCCCCGCCTCCCGCACACACTGACCCATCTAGTGAAGCGCCACCGCCACCTGCGGATCGTCGGCCCCGAACTTGGCCTCATTGATCTCAAGAGCACGCCTAAACAACTCTTCCGCCTCCCCCGGCCGCCCCGCCTCCCGCACACACTGACCCATCTCGTGCAGCGTCACGGCCACCTGCGGATCGTCGGCCCCCAACTTTTCCTCCTCGATCTGGAGA